CGTTGCTCACTTGTTCAGTCCATATCACTGTAGAACCATAATTTTGTTGCTTCAAGCTTCTTCTTCATCTTTGAGGAGATTGTCCAGTTATCACTGCTAGATAGAAGAACTAATATTATCTAAGAGTTCAGTATTATATTCTTTGTTCCTAACGAGTTTTTCCTGTTTCTTATTACTTCACCTAGCTTTTGGAAGATATCTTTCACTATCCAGATGCGCCTTTAGATTTCATTGTTGCACGATTCGTCTTCTGTTAAATTATTTTCCAGATAATCCATTTGTTGTATCTACTTTATTTTGGGAACTCCAATTTGTAATTTGCATATTATGCTGTTCCTTTTTCTAAAACACATGTATTCTGTCTGATTACAATCGATGATTAGTCCTTTCTTCTCGCTTTCTTTCACTACCTTCTGTAGAAGGTCTTGTAGTTTCCTTTCTGTGTCTACAAACAATGTTGTGTCATCTGCAGATCTTATGTTGTTAAGATCTTGGCCGCCATTAATGACTCTTTGTAGATCTAATTAACTCAGAATTGCCTCCCTTGTAGAAGACACGTCCTTGTTTTACAAGCGTATTGTTATGGTCCGGGTTCCTTGTACCACGGTGATAATCCAAAGTAGAACCAAATAAAGAACTCGAACACAGGTATGGAATAACACAGATATATTACAAACTGGAATATATACAGAGAAGTAGAAGTGTTAGTATGAACAATCAGGTTTAGTAGAGAGAACAATGTAGTCTCTACCAGTATCACTATGTCAATGTCTTGCAGTAATCATCTGAACACGGCTCTGTTTCGGACTGCCTCTGACTCGACTCTGGACTCGACTTAAACTACTGACTGACTCCTTGCCTACTCCTGAGGCGCAGTAATTCTTAAGTATGGAATAGTCCATTATTATTATTATGGTTAAGATCCCATAACACCTTTCTACTTTTTCATAATTGTGGTTTTCTATCAGAATAAGTACATTAAAATTGCATACAATGATTTACTTCAGCAAAGCTAGTGGGGAATATATAAAGGGTGATTCATTAAGACGGATTATATATAGGGTGACCAAAAAAAAACGAGAACGTTTTAACAATCCAATAAAACCAAGAGTGATGGAAGAAAAATATTTTATTCAGAGTAATTGTAACCTTAAAACATGCCATTTAAGAAACAATGATGGAATTTTCATTTTTTTTTAAAATTACGTCCTGCAGATGGCGTCCTCCTGTACGAATGCATTCTTGAAATCTACTATTGAGATTCCTCATTGACTGCTGCTAACGCACGCTGTTGTCTGTTCCACTGATCCATGGTTACTAAAATGGCGAAATATTTACTTGTTCAAGGTCACTGTCTCGCAGTGTTGCCACTTGCTCATGTCTGGCAATACGCACTTCAAAAATTCCCCTTTTTTGGGGTCACCCTGTATAAGTGTGTTTCATTAAGACGGGTCAAAGTCAGCAGTAAATAAATCAGTGTTATTGGTGAAAATTTATTTATTTCTCTATTAGATCATGTTATTTAAGTCATGGTAATTAGGTGTGAAAAAATATCGCCCAAATGTCTGCCAAATCTGAAAGAAAAAGAAGAAATCATTAGACGCTTAAACTTAATTCATATTTAAAATCGGTCAAAGTTATTGTAACACCACACACACACACACACACACACACACACATATATATATATATATATATATATATATATATATATATAAGACGAAAAGTACAAACTTAATGAAAACAAATTTTTACCTTCAAAATTCATTATGTTCTTATTACTAGGAAAGACCAAATGATCTTTTGGTTATTAAATTATATTTTTTTAAACATTTTAGAACCTTAAAAATTTTGGTTAAATATTTTCGCTTTCTTGTATCACGGGGTATCCATAAATTAGCATAGGAAATTTTAATGTATTTTTTCAGCGAAAACACATTGACTTGGAAATTCTTGCAAAAACCAAATTATAGATTTTAATAAAATATTTAAGATTTATTTACAAGCGAATGAAATTATTTTTTCAAATGTTTCTTTTTTCGAATATCATGCTAAAATTTCTTTTTTTATGTTACCCGCAACCAATTTAGTTTTATAAAATTTCGAGAAATTCTTTTTGTGTCACTTAATGATTATATTACTTCTAACAAGTAGTCTTTTAGAAAATTTAATCATCATTTTTTTTTTTTTTTTTTTTTAATAAAATAGAACCTCCACTTACCGGGAATTTGCTCTGAATCGAAAATAGGGAATGCAATAAAACTAATTAATTATTAAATTAGAAGAAAAACTTTTAATTACATTTATAAATAAGATATATTATAGACATTTTTTTTTCGCTGAATAATGCATTTTTATAGGAATTGTTTTCATTTTATCATATTTTTAATTAGAATAATTTATAATGTTTTAAATCATTTAAAATTCCGTATTAATTTGTGTCGGTTATGTGATATTGTTATTAAATAAAAACTGCATTTACTAATTATGAATGGAAAAGATTACTACAATTCAGTGACATTGTCAAAAAGTAAGGACGGTAACTCTGGTAAAGACAAGTACCTGAAATAAAATAAAACATTAAATTACGGTGAATATTTTTCTATATTTTAAAGATTACTAGGTAGCTAAAACATATTTAACAAGTAATGTCCCTGGTAGAAAAAATTATTTAAATTTTCGGGATCAATAAAGCTTTAATGCAATGAATAATGCTTTCGTAAAAACACCTATATCCCTGTTAAAAATCAACATATTTCTGGCATCATTTAAACTAAAAGTAAGTAATATTTGTTTCAAATCAGATTAATTAATCTTCAAATTAGCTAATATTCCACAAATTACCTTTCAGAAAGTAAAATTATACTTTTTGAATGATATTTTACTAAAGGATATTACATTGTGCTGACAGATGGCCAACATTTTAGAGACGTTCAAAAAAAAAAAAAAAAACGAACCCTTTCCAAACAATTTAACTTCATTTTGAAATATGGCAAATATTTTTATTTAAAATATCAAATTTAATCTATTAACTTGAAATTAAAACTAAAATAAAAGCTTCAACAATTTTTATTTTTAGAAATTCATTTTAAATCGTAAGTATCTCGTTTCTTTGGATGTCTTTCTCAATATATATATATATATATATATATATATATATATATATATATATATATATATATATTTTCTATTTATACGTTATTTTTATAGATATGATTATATTTAAGTAAATGCTTGGTTTTCAATTAAATAGTATTAATTACATTTACGGGTCTGAATCTTCGAGAAATTTAGTAGAAAATATGCACTCTCTGACACGAATCAAACTTGTAATGTTAATAAACATACATCTTCGGCGATTTTTTCGACAGAAATCGAACCTATAATCCTTATAGGAACCGACATATAGCCTTCCGTGCTATTACCATTCACCCACAGAGAAACGCTCGTTTTGAAATGTCCGAAATAATGTTAATAAACGAACACTTTCGGCGATTTTTTTCGATCGATTATTTTCGTGAAAAATATGCGCTCTCTGACAGGCCAGTAAATGTTATTAATACTGTTTAATTAAAAAACAGAGCATTTACTTAAATTGTATCTTTAAAAATAACATATAAACATAAAATATATTAAATAATCGTCGGTTTTAATCCATTTCATAATATGTTGTCATTGTTTACATTAAGTTATGTTTCATGATCAGAAATTGTCGAAGGTGTGTGTTTATAAATATTAATTCGAACTTTGCCAACCAGATGCTTCTCTGTGGGTGAATTGTAACACCACAATAGACTATATGTCAGTTCTCATAAGGGTTACAGGTTCAATCCCTGTTGGAGAGCGCTTATTTACTACGAAATTTCTCGAACATTCACGCCGGTAAATATAATTAATACGGTTTAATTAAAAACAGAGCAATTAATTAAATATAATTATATCTATAAAAATAACGTATAAACAGAAAATATATAATTGTCGGACTTAATCCATTTCATAATATGTATAACAGAAATTTTGTAGCAACTTAGGTGAAGTCATAAATAAATCCGTTCTTTTAGCAAATTAATTCTTCAAAAGGTATATGACTACTACATTCTATTCAATTATAAATTCACAATTATTTGCAACATCTTGTTGGCATTTATCGGGCAACTCGTTCCTACATTTTGGGCGAATTTTCCTAGTTTTCGATGATCTTTTCAATCTGGTTTCCATTTGAGAAATTCTTCCCCCGCCAAAACATTTCGCAGCGATCAAGAAATCTAATAACCGGTTGACACAAGGTCAAGTAAATGTCGAGGGTCGGGTTAGAACAGAAAAGCCAAATTCTAAAATATTTTTCTGTTATTCTTTCTGTAGGTGGGAAGCACGGTGTAGTCGCTTGTAGCGGCTCGGATTGAGGAATCGGAGAACCGAGTTCGAATTCCAGTCGAATCTATTACATTCACTTACGTGCTAATACCCTTGGGAAAGGTATGAATCCTCTTCTTCTCTCCCCCACCCATAGTAAATAGCAGAGCAGACCAGGTTCTATAGACTTGGATGGCAACTGATCTAGAAAGAAATGGAAACCTACTGCGAAAAAAAAATCTACCTCGTCAAAGCGCGCTTAACGTATGGGAAATAACTGACTGATGTGTTCTTCCTCAAAGAAATAACAGCATTGTTTGTTTAATCCACCGTATACGCGGCCACAGTCGTGCAAAAACTCAGATATGTTAATGTACTTCAGTTTTATTTTGATTGCTTCTTTTTCTACGGCTTATCAACTAATTTCAGTTTATTTAAAGCCATAAAATATTTTTAGATTTAAAGATTATTTCTTTTTAGATAAAAATCATTCAGAGATAAACGTATTACTAATTAACCCATAGGTGGTGTAGAGACGTGGATTAATTTATTTTCCTGGGGCGTTTGAATATAATGAACCCGACTGGAACTTGAACTCTGATAATCAATTCCGAAACGTTAACCATTAAACTACCTACACATCCAAGTTTACAACACCTGGTTTTCCCAAGTGGTCACCCATCTAGGCACGACCAAGCTCGACGCGGCTGCACTTCGATGATCATGGGGGAAATGGTGTTTCAACCAGATATGGCCATAAGCTACATCTATCTTGAGTGGCTACCAAATCTTATATTAGATGAAATTTTAACTTTCTTAACTTCGGTGATAGTAACGGAACCGTTGTTTCAACGCGATGCGGTTCGTAGGCAAGCTTATTTTAACTAACACCTATTAGTATCTAGGATAGATAGATAGATAGATAGATAGATAGATAGATTATGAAGTGATTGGGATAGATAGATAGATAGATAGATAGATAGATAGATAGATAGATAGATAGATAGATAGATAGATAGATAGATAGATGAGTCATGAAGAGATTATGAAGAAAACTGAAATAGCTAGATAGATTGTAAAGAGATTGAGACGAATAGATAGATAGATAGATAGATAGATAGATAGATAGATAGATAGATAGATAGATAGATAGAATTAAGTAAGCGCTATATGTTTTGGCATCGCTAAGAATCAACTGACGTAGCTTTTACCTCTCTGTTTAATTTTTTTTTTTTCAAATATACTCTCCTTTCGATACTCATTAAAATTCCAAATGCATTTGCACATCTGTCTGAATTTATTACTGGAGCAAGATAAATGCTTGTCAATGAAGTGATTTCAAAACTCTGCTGCCACCGTTTTGATCGAGCACAAAAGAATACAAACCTGCAAATCACTCACCGATCCTCAAAATGTATTGGAATAGAAAATGGCGCTAATAGTCATCGATGTGTCTCTAATGGTTGCCGCTGACAAAATGGTGGATCCAATTTGACTGTCTTTGCTTATCAACGACTGGCTCGTCTTATTTGACTTGCCGGTGTAGCTCAGTAGTTAACGCTTAGAATTACATAAAGGAATAACAAGTTAAGATAGATTTCAATAAAATCCGCAGAAGATTTTGACGTTTATAGATAACAAAACGATGAATTTAATACACGATGCGATATTTTTCTTGAATTAAAACTCATGTGTTTTCTTTTTTATATTACCGATTCTCGTGGATAATTTCAAATCCTCCTGCTCCATATCTAGCCTAGCTTGATAGGATTAACAAGCCTACCTTGAACGGGGCATTAAAAGAAGATGTTAATATGAATCACTTCTTCTTACTAAATAATTAATGTCCCACTGTTTATTTTTTTAATTTAGTTCACACAATACAAGGCCCAAGAGCCACTCAAGGTAGAAGTCTACCGAGTGAGATTGTTAATAGGATTTATAGAAAGAGGAAGGAGGAAGTAAGAAGTGGCATACTACCAGAATATGTAGAATAGATGTCGGTTGATCCGAGACATGAAGAGGTTGAGATTTTCGTGTTTGGGAAAGCACGCTCAAGGGAGACTATTTCTCAAACTAACAGTTCTGGAGAAAGAGCTCTCCGAATGAAAAAATACTTCTTATCGAAGAAATACGAAGGGAATGGTAGTGATATGATTCGATGCCACTGCATATCCGAGCTGTGAAAGAAAATATATTTTCTTTAATGTCGGTTTGGTCTTTCGTAGGGAATGAATATTTGATGCTTATATATATATATATATATATATATATATATATATATATATATATATATATATATTAAAGATTAGACGTTTAGTCATATTGACACTATTTATCGTAAGAATCAATGAAAAGCTAGAATGAGAAACGGTTAAAGTTGTTCTATGTCAGTCCGACTATAGCTTCTCAATTGAGCCATTGTGATAGGGAAAATATCATTTATTCTGGCTCCCATTTACAAAGTCCATGCATGAACCATCAATAGAACAGGGAATAAGTTTAATAAAGAAGAAAAAATAGAGAGGAAAACCATATATATATATATATATATATATATATATATATATATATATAACCAGCATAGTTTATAAATCCAAGTGCCCTTTGGGAGATTGTATCTCCAACGAATTAAATAATATTTATGTTGATCACACCACAAACTCGCTTTCACGACGCTTCACACTACATTTGAATGAAATCTTTAGGCATTTAAAACAACATGCCTGGCCGTACACACAATTCCGTAAAATCATTGTCGAAAACACAATTATACTTAAACATGAAAACAATAAACAAAAACTAAACATCCTTGAAGCTATATACATCAAACAGTTAAAACCTAACCTAAACAAAATCAACTATGAAATCTCTACAAATATTCTTAAATGTCTATAATTGATAACAGAAGCCATTGGTTTATACCAACGGCTTCCCATACTTAATACTTCCCGAATTCACTCTCGCATGGTCATGTGTGACGCCATGAGCTGCGGTGCGATTTTCGCTTTTAGTGTCATATGCACGTGTTTATCATTGCTTGGAAATCATCCATGTAAACAATAACAGACTATCATCACTGTCTTGTCCGTATATTGTTTAATATGTTGTAATTGACATCTTTGATAATGGATTATGTAAGCCGAAAGCTTAGATTGGATTAAAAAATATGAATCAGTATTGTAATTTTCTTTCTTCGTATAATGATAATGTTATAATAACATTATCATTATACGAAGAAAGAAAATTACAATATTGATCAATATTTTTTATGGATAGATAGATAGATATTTAATTCCCAACTGTATATGCCATGTATATGAATTTGTGACAACTTAAACTTAACATGATTCTGATCAAACTTAGTACCAATCGTTTACATGTATATCAGCTTGAAAATAAGTATCGTAAATGTTATGAGTAATGGATAGCCGTTCGGACTGAGGAATCAGACGTTATGAAAAGAATTTACATAAAATGAATAGACAGCACTTGTCTATATTATTTAATGAAACACGTATGAATATATATATATATATATATATATATATATATATATATATATATATATATATATATATATGTAATGTGACGTAAATAGTCTGGATGATACTCACAGTTTTGTTAAGTTTCATTGATCCTATCTTATGCTAATATTACTTTGGTTATTTGTGAAATGTTCATATATATTTCCGCGAATTGCACTAAAGTCTGGCCTTATTTCTTCATATATATTAAGGGAGTGTTGAAATTGTAAAACAACGTATTTTCACCATAAGCGGGATTAATTTCGCCGGTTCTTGCCTTCACGGCTAAGACCCACCATGCCACGCACATTGTAGTGATCCAGCCTCATTCCCTCCGTATTTCGTTAGTGAGATGTAGGTTCTACTCGGGATGTATATTGTCAAAAACTGCTTCATTGTGGAACTTAATCCAGTCTTAACCTGTTGTAGTCTATGGTCAAGCGTTATCTTCCCCACATATCCACATAATTTATGCCTGTTATTCTGTAACCTTCTACATCGGGTGGCTTCTACAGGGTGAACATAACTGTAAAAAAAAACACATATTCTCTATCGAGTTGTTTTCTTAATATGCCAACTTTTTCTATGGCAGATCCAATGATATTTTCTAAGCACAGAACAGAGTTAAGTCCCTTGGGAATATCTACGTGTCAAACTAACTGAAAAAATAAATTAACTGTAACAATAAAATCTAGAACTTCCTCACATTATTTTTTCTGTTATTCTTTTCTGCTTTACAAAATACTAGATTCTTCCTTTTGTTTCGCCCTTATATAACACAACAGAAAACGGAGAAATAATTTCCGGACAGAGAGAGAGAGAGAGAGAGAAAGAGAGAAGTTGGTTTAATTCTGTTTATCTATAGCGTGACAGATCCTCGCGTAACATGAAAATATGTGGAGGCAGTGTGTAAATTCCTCGTTGGAGGGATTTCTAACGGAGGCTTATCATTTCTCAGTTGCGTCTCTGTCCTTGGACAGAGTGCGCTCAGGGGCTTCTCTGTCAAAGGACGGAGGGGCAACTGAGAAAATAATACTGAGAGGTTCCCAGCCCTGGGGAACAGCTGCCCGAGGTCGCGCCTCCCATTGCACAAGAGGGAGGGATCGGTGCTCGCACCGAGGCCAACGCAACCGACGGTTGCGGGGTCTGTGGGGAATTTTTGTCCCTGCCCGGGTGTACGCGCTCGGGTCTCCACATTAAAAAGACCTTGTGTCACATCTCATTCTTGTGGGGGAATGAGTAAACACCGTGAAAATATATGGAGGCGTAGAAGCACTTGAGGCCTGTTTATTTCCGCTCTACTGTCACATCTAAAATTTTAAGATAACTATAAAACTCATGACCTTTGATTTCTGAACGAAATTCTAATCAAATTCACTACCAATTGTTCCTGGCTATCAGCTTGAAAATGCGTATAGTGATGGAAACATAGACATGGATAAATATATATTAAAATCATAGTAGTATTATATCTAAATGAGATACTTTTATAAAGGGTGAACGCCACGGCGAATGCCAGTCAATCTACCAACTGTTGACCTGACCAGACATTACTCTGCGTCATAAAAATCAGTCAGTCAGTTATGTGCCATACGTGATACACGCTTAGGCAATCATGTATCTTTCGATGAGGCAGATTTTTTCCCGCAGTAGGTTGCCATTTCTTTCTGCGATACAGCAGTTGCCATTCAACCCGGTCTATCCTGCTAGTTATTCATAGCTGGAGGGAGAAGAAAAGGATTCATATATTTCCCAAGAGTATTAACACGTAAGTGAATGTAATAGATTCGACTGGAATTCGAACTCGGCTCTACGATTCCTCAATCCGAACGGCTATCCATTACTCATAACATTCACGATACTTATTTTCAAGCTGATATCCATGTAAACGATTGGTACTAAGTTTGATCAGAATCATGTTAAGTTTAATTTGTCACAAATTCATATACATGGCATATACAGTTGGGAATTAAATATCTATCTATCCATCTATGTTTTTATTTACTTGTCTATCTCTTTCTGGTCACATAAACCAATCTATCATATTCTGCTCGCTCTATCTATCTATCTATCTATTTATCTATCTATCTATCTATCTATGTTTTTATTTACTTGTCTATCTCTTCATATGGTCCAGTCTATCACATTTTACTCATATCTATCTATCTATCTATCTATCTATCTATCTATCTATCTATCTATCTATCTATCTATCTATCTATCTCTGTTTTTA